GTGTCAGCGTCAATTTAGTTGAAGTTGAATGGTTGAAAATATTCATTTTTACCCCAGTTAACTTCATCCTTACCTTGATTCTGTTCCAAAAATATTTCATTATCAGTTCAGCACAAGATTTCGGCAATGCAGTCCCAGAATCAATAGACTCCAACTACAAATTAGTATTTGAAATTTCCAACTTTTTTGTTTTAATTTTAGAATTCACCAAGTGTGAAATTTCAAGATTTCAAAACGTGACCATTTGCTTTAGCATTTTCCGCGTAATTGGAAAGATATTCGCCTAAAGGACTGAAAAACAAACTTGAGAGCAAGTTTAGATAATTTCTCATAGGCGTAAATAAAGTACTACAAAGGAAAGGGTGCAAAAATGGTAGAACACAAATGTTACAAATCTTTAGATATGGTCTCCATTAGTTGTTAAATTCGGATAAAAGTAACAACCACCGTGCATTGTCTTTATCTATAATTTCTTTTCTAGGACACACACTAGTGACGAAATCCCCTTTTTCAACAATAAAATCTAATGGCTTACTTTGCCTATTTTTACTTCATCACGTGCATTGTTTATAGTAGTGTGATATCAGAACCGGAAGAATTCAATTTTCCTGAATTTGAAGACTAACTTTTACGTGTTGTTTAGCTGTCAATTCTCCTAAGGCTTGTTGATTGTGTCTGGTTTCCAGAGATGGATATCCAAAACTCTTCGATATGTAATGTAATTAGGAAATAAATATTACAGTTATTACTGCATTTTCGAGCATTCAATGCAGCATTAAATATTTTCCTTCTAAAAATTTAATGTAAACTAACTATTAGTACTAGGTGCAATAACGTAGACAGACACTCATAGAAATGGACAGGTTCGTGTGAAAACAAAAGGTAGCCTCCCAGTCTTGCACGTAAGATGCTGACAAGGACATAAATTATACCATAGGATTTTTCTGAGTAGGTGTCCAACGGGTATCGTTAATATATAGATATTACACAAATTTTACTATGTTAATATATACAATTACAATTAATGCATAGATTTCTATGTGTTAATTTGGTACAGTTGAAATGGATTTGTACAAATTTTAGGTGTTAAGTACGAAAATGACCATGATAATCCAAAACAAATGCTTCAAGGTTCACAAAGTTCCACTCATTTTACTCTTTTGCCCTTTGTTGATCCTAAAAATCACTATATATGCCATGATTGTTCTCCTCCCCCCAAATTCTCAAAGTTCTCACCACAGTGTAGATCTTATTCATTGTGGTTGGTCAAGATTGGGAGCTGGAAATGAACTATATTGACTACCTTCTCAGCTTTTTAATCCTTTTTTATGTAGCCACTATTAGATTAGAACATGTTGGATTGTGATTTTTCATGAAAAAACCTTTACGTTTTCAATCACTTTTTTATTTCACATATATATATAATCGTTATAATGCAATTTTTTTAATAAAAATTCCTACCATTTGGTAGCCCAATAGTCCTAGCTATATACATTCTCAAAATAAATCAACAAGGAGACTTTGAGGCCAAGATCCGTGAGGATCTCAAGGTCATTTACAGATCAAGAAAATGTTGGAAAGGCATCACTCACTAGCTAAGCAATTTATGGAGTTTTTGCTTTAAAAAAACAATTTCTTTTAAGAAAAATATGTAGCTAAAATACATTTTATTTAATTGTGTCAGGAGATAAAGTTTGATCCATTGCAAAATCCTACCTCATATGCAATAGTTTGAAAAAAAAATGTTGTGACTGTTTTGCTGTTAGCCATAAATATAAGGGTTAATATTTTATACATTGACAGTATATACACTCTCATGATTAGATGCATGACACATAATCTGAATTTGAATTTGATATCTAAATTTTATATATGTGTTGTGTATCTAATCATGATAGTGTATACACTATCAGTGTATATAAGATTTACTTTAAATGTAATCATAAACGAGGCGGTCATGGTGAACTTCCAATTTAAAGAAGCATTTCACAGTACCATCTATACTGTAAAAAATATTTAGACAAATAGCTATGAAGGGAGCTAATAATACCCAAAATGGGAGTTTATCCTCAAATCAGCAAATTTAGGTGATGATTAAACTCTACTTTTTTATACACGAAATGCTAGAACATTTTCCCAAAACATCATGTGTCAGGACCAGTTATATATCATGGTCCAATTATGTTCACCTACACATTAAGACTAATTGCAAATATTCCAACATAGCAAAGTGAAAAATATGCTACTAGATGGCAAAGTGTTTACCCGTACGATTTTTATGAGGAGAGTATAAATCAAATCACTTTGTTATGTGTCTATAAATAGTGGTGTACTCAAGACTATGATCAGTGGAAGTAATAACCAATTGTGTCAAGAGCAATAAGTTGCGTTTTGTTTAATGTATAAAAACAGAAGTTAGTATGAAGCAAAATTATTAAGTTTTTCAAAGTCTTTTTCATTCAAGTAAAGTTTCAAGCAAGATAAAGCAATACATAACGTATAAAGGAATTTTACAAAAATTTAGGAGTACAAATGTAAAACAAAAGCTACTTAAAAAAGAAAAGAAAAGAAATATATACTTATTTGCAAAGCTTGTATCCACTTTCCATATTGAGGGCGCAATGACTCGCCCTCATTTCAACGTGGATAACCAGTACTCAGTAGCCACGATATGTAACATGCCATGCCACAGAGTTTGAAAACAAGTCTTTATGACAATAAGTCAACTGGCAATCTGCAGACTTTAATTTCACATTGACTGAACTGTTTGTTTTGTCATTTGCTTTTTGGTGCTATATAACCGTTTGTTTGGATTGGGCTTTATTTTTTCAAATTTATTAACTTACCTCATCATTACAATTTTCAATACACCTTTTTACATTCTTAATTACTTTTTTATCTCACATACATCACATCACAAAAAGTGTTACAGTAAAAATATCTCTAATAATTCACAATCCAAATAGACAGAAAATTGTCACCGCCCAGCTTGTTACTCTTTTTGAGCAGCTGAAAAACTTTAAACACAATTGATAATGGTAATGCGAAGAAATGCATAATGATTGATAATTTGGTAAAAGATATATTTGAAACACCTTTTGTAATTTACTTATGCGTATATCCACTAACTTGATATGACACAAGACTAAAATATTTGAAAATAATCATACTTAACCTTGTCACGTCGACGGTGAAACCTAACTTAGTTGATATAACATTCACTTGTAACCTACGAAAGTAAATAGAATCGAGTCATCATCAAGGAAGTAAATGAAAAACTACTACTCATCATCTTTATATATATATATATATATATATAACTTGTCATATTTTGGGTGGACTTCATTCCTATAGAAATTATATCCTCTCCTCTAAAATAACAAAGATGATGCTAATCCTATTAACCAAATGAGTAACAATTTTTTTAAGAGTAATAGTGATGGGTAGATCTTTTACTTACATTTCTTACCCTCAAACCATCCAATCTATCTTTCCCCCCAAATGTGTAATAGTTTTTTTATTTTGAGATTGTAAAGAATAATACTTTGTTGTGATGAAACCAGGTTGAAAAACAGTCACCAGCTTATAAATGCCTTAGTTGTGAAACAAAAAAAAAAAAATTAGGTTTGCACTGCCATTTTTCTTCAAAATTTTTTTACATTTTTTGTGAACATATTTTTCAATTACTTTTTTATCTCATGTCATCAAATCACAATAGTATATATTTTTTAATAAAATTTTCAGAAAATAGCAATCTAAACAAGTCAAAAGTTTTTCATTTGCATTAAATACTAGTCACTTAAATTAGTTTTACATACTAAAATATATCTTTGTGCAACTTGTTGAGCTGCGGGACCTATAAATCTCTCAATTTTTCATTAGATCATCTTTTACTTTCCCAAGCAAATCACAAACCATAATCCAAGTAGGGGTGGACAAAGATATCCGCTAACTCAAAAATTCATTATACCTGATCCGATCTAATCCGAAAATTAGGATATTCAATTCATATTATTTTGTTGGGTCAAAAGAGGGTCGGCTACGCTTTTAGATGTGAAGCAGGTTAAGGTCATGTAATTAAAAACTCGTGGGTACTCGACTTACCTAGCATATATATATATATATATAATTTTTTTACACATATTACAAAATAATATTTTTAGAGTTAAATAAGCAATTTCATTGAATAAATTACATTACAAATATGGGAAACTGTAGTTTGTTTACCAAATTCATTTGCAGAGGTTATGATCTTATGTTTTTTAGAAAGAGTTTAATTAATGTGAAATATATATTTAGAAAAAAGGTAATACTTATTTCAAAATTTCATTGATTTTTTCTTTTTTCTTGTATTCTTTTTGTATGTTTGTTTCTTGGTGTGAGATTTTTTTTGAGAAAAAATCTTTATTAAATCTTAGATGAATATGTAATATACAAAATTATATTAAATAAATTAATTTTTTTAAATTAAATGATAAGTGGAATGGAGGCGGGTACCCGAATAGCTGCTGATATGAGAGACGAATAAGGATCAGAAAATGACTGACTCGTAAGGTGCAAGTTAGATCAGTCAAGTGATATACGAGATGGATATTCGACCCGTACCCATTCCTAAAGCCAAGGGAAAGTTAACTCCCAATCCACCTAATTTTATTTTTGTTTTTTAGAAGGGGTCCAGCTATTTCTTTAGCCCCTGATTAAATATAACTCCACTATTATGATTTTATCTTATCCATCGTAATTTCATAACAGATGCATAATCATCAAACCAAAACCTGCTTCTACCCGCAGCCAATTCCTACCGGCACCAACCAACCGATGCAAGACAATTGCCAATGCTGTAATTTCGCAAACAATCCAAGGTCAATAGGATAACTCCAAGCTAGCTCATAAGCCCACGTGGACTATTCCTCTATCCGATCTCAGCCCCAATTTGGCCCGAACTCGGCCCTCTCCTCACCTAATATATATCCCCACTCGTCTTCCCCATTGCTAGCGAGAGGGACACATCGCTGAGTAACAAAAACCAGAGAGAGAGAGAGAATAAAAGCTCCCAAAATTTTATTTTAATTTTTAATTTATTTTTTTTTCCAGTTGGAAAAGGATAAATCGAAATCTTAGCCTCTTAGGTAGCTGAGAAAGAGGAAAAGGGAAAGGAAAAGAATTTGATTTTCCATTTTTTAATAGTTAAAATTTGCAGCTTTAATTAAGTGAGGAAAAAGAGATGGAAGAGAATTCAAATTCCATTGCTGAGATGAAGAACGGAAACGACGATCATGGTTGGAAAACGGTGACGTATCAGAAGAAGAATAAGAAACAGCCGCAAAATCAGCAGCAAGTGAGGTCGGCTGCGGCGGGAGGAGGAGGTGGAGTTTCCGATCGACGGAGCGATGTTTTCCGGGTGATCGAGGAGCACTCCGAGGAGAGACACCGGAAATGGCTGGAGGATCGACAAGCCGCCGCCGCTGCTATGGAGGATCATTCCGTTGTCATTGACGACGTCGAGGAGGTTAGCGACGGTGACGAGGCTCCAGTGCAGAATGGCGCCCCGGAAGAGAAGAAGACTAAGCCTAAGAAGCCTAAGAAACCGAAGGTTACTGTTGCTGAGGCTGCTTCGAAGATCGACGCCGCTGATCTCACCTCTTTCCTTGCTGATATTTCAGTAAGTAAAAATTATGTTTTGGATATTTAGGGCTAAAACAAATTTTCAGATATTTCTGAATCTGATCTGCTACTACGTTCAATTTGTGTGTTAAAGTTTGGGTTTTGAATCGAATTGCCCAAAAAATTGATGGTTTTGACTTTTTATTTTGGTTTATTTTAGGTTTCCTTTGAGACGCAGCAGGATATACAGCTGATGAGATTTGCAGATTATTTCGGACGTGCATTTGCTAAAGTGAGTGGGTCCCAGTTTCCATGGATGAAGATACTTAAGGAATCTCCTGTTGCAAAGATGGTTGATGTGAGTTTTTTTCCCCTTTTTCTTTAATTAGTAAAAATTTTGGAAAGTCAGTTTTTTTAAAAAAAAAATTAAATAAACCAAATTTTGGTGTGTAACAGGTTTAACAATGATAAGAATCGAAAGTTGTTGGCTTTTTATGAAGAACAACTGCGTTTTAATAAAATGTGGTTTGATGCGTGCGCAGACTAGAGAAAGACTACTATTTTTCATGTAAAAAGTGTTATATGATGTGAATTAGTCTAGATGACTGTCTATGACGTGTGCGTGGATCGTTTGTCCTACATTTTTAGATATAATGTAATTCAGAAGTTTGATGTGTTAATTACAGTATTGTGTCGGATATAAATATGGCTGTCCCTTGTTCCTGGAGCTTGCAGACTGCGGTAATATTTGTCATGTAGATCATCAGCTTCTGTTTCTCTTGTTTTTGCTTTTAACTTTAAAACCTGTCTATGCGCAAGTTTATTTAGCATTACTACTACTGAGCGCTGGTTTTGTGTCAGTATATGCACACTTCTGAGTCAATCCAACATGCAGTTTTAATAGTATAAGTCCATTTGAACTTCGTTGTATCTCTTGATTGGGTGTTTTTTCTGGTCAACTTTGTTCTTTTCTTTCTTTCTGAGAAGTGTGTTGAATTTGTGAATACTTGCTAGGTTTTTCACTTTGTTGAATCTATTGACTGGGTGTTTTTTTGGTCCACTTTGTTCTTTTCATTCCTTCCAAGAAGTTTGTTCATAACTGCTGAATGGTCATGGTGATTCAAGTTACCTAAATCTTATAGTGGGTAACGGATTATAAATTTGGAGTTAATGATGCACTCAATTGGTAAGATTTTGTGGCTTTTGTGCAGCTCCCTCTCTCCAACGTGTCTGAAGATGTGTACAAGACATCAACAGATTGGCTTAACCAGCGATCTGTCGAAGCGCTTGGCTCTTTTGTGTTGTGGTCACTCGATAGCATTATATCTGACATTGCACTTCATCAAGGCTCCACCAAAGGGGCTAAAAAGGTTGTTCAGCAGGCAGCTTCAAAATCTCAGGTAATTGTTCTTGGTCCTGCCTTCCTGTTTAGTTGAACAATGAATACATCTCTCTCTCTCTCTCTCTCTCTCTCTGAAGTCTAATTTTTAAGCTGCTTAGAACCTTTTTTTTTTTTTGTCTTCTTCTCCTCTCGCCTCTGCTTCAGCAAGGAGTAACTATTTGGGCATCATTACTCTCTAAAGTAGAGTCATTGTCAGTGATTTCACCAGAATAAATCAAAGTCAAAATCCCATCTTGTGTGGTTATTAGAGGCCAAATGGAGCTAAATAGTGTTTACTAAGGTTGCGATAATCCTTACTAATGTGAGACCAGTATTTAGTAGAAATGCATGCTCACAATTGTTGACATAAGCTGGACTGGAAGTGCTATATTTTGCCAAAGTTTGGTTCAACTGTTTCTACACCCTCAGGCGAGCTGAAGAATTTATAGTTTGATTTAAAATGGGGTAATTTTGTATTTTGCCCATCTAAGGTGATCACTCGCTCTTGGAAAAGTACTCCAGTGGACATTAGTACTGCAGAGATCATGTGGTACTGTAGATTGAGTGATCAATCTTCATACTGTTTCACCCATTGGAATGTTTTCTCCAGTAACAACAGCACATGTAACTCTCAGTAGAGGGATCAATACTGACAGAATTACGACTCAGTTACTCAACAAGAATGCAATTAAACTGGCAAATGGTTGGATAAGCACTAATATAAAGTTAGGCTAAGCTCACAAGTAGTTATTTTAGTTGTTGATTTATTTTAGATTGGAAAGTACCTACGGAAGTGGTCAGTTACTTTGAGAGTATTTAAGTATTATTCACGTATAAAATGATTTACCTTCTTTGATTCTAATGGCATGTTGTGGATAAATCAATTACATAATGGCATTATGGTGCAGGTTGCCATTTTTGTCGGCTTGGCAATGGTATTGCGACGTAAACCCGACGTCTTGATTAGTTTGTTGCCATCACTGAAGGAGAATGCTAAGTATCAGGGGCAAGATAAGCTTCCTGTTCTCGTGTGGGTTATCACTCAGGTATTCTCTTGATAAAATCTGATAGCCAGATCCTACAGTGTTTGATAAAAGATTGACATTTCCCTTTCTTTCCTATCTTATTGATTTGTAAGTGGAAAAAAGGTATCCCCTTTAATAATTACTCAAATACTGCAGGCTTGTCAAGGGGATTTGGTTGTTGGACTGTTCCTGTGGGTTCATTTTCTTTTCCCTATGCTTAGCGGGAAATCCAATTCTAATCCGCAATCCAGAGACTTAATTTTGCAGGTGGTTGAGAGGTAAATAGCCTTTTTTTTAAATTTTTTTCCCTTTTGTTGTTACTGTAGTCAATTTATGGTTGATTTTAACTGAACTCATTCATTTCTTTGCTAAAAGCTTAAATAAGTTCTGTTTGGTTTTGATTGCAGAATTACTTCCTCACCAAAGGCTCGAACCATTCTACTTAATGGTGCAGTCAGAAAGGGAGAACGTGTGGTTCCTCCATCCTCACTTGACCTTTTGATGAGAGCCACCTTTCCAGCAAATTCAGCCAGAGTAAAGGTCAGCACCTTGAAGCTAGAAATAATTGTATTCCAAAATATTTTTTGTTCTATTTATGTATGTTGGGTTCTGAGGTGTTTGTTTTTGCTTTTGCATTCAGGCAACTGAGAGGTTTGAAGCTGTGTATCCTCTTTTGAAAGAGGTAGCTCTTTCTGTTTCCTCAGGAAGCAAAGCTATGAAGCAAATCACTCAGCAAATGCTGCCCTTTGCCATTAAAGCTGCCGGAGAAGGTATTGTAAAATTTAAATACCAATAGTCTTCAGTCTTCGTTTGTGCCTTCTAAGAGCAGTTGTTGCCCTACCAAGGTCAGTTTATGGCTTTTGACAAGGTGAAAGCTTTTCAGGTATTCCTGAATTAGCAGGAGAAGCGAGTAACTTGTTTATTTGGTGTTTAACTGAGAACCCTGACTCTTGCAAGCAATGGGTAAGTTCAATAGAGTTGTAGCCAAATCATCTCTTATCTGCTTGTTGGATGCTTTCCTTTTCTATTTACTCATTATCATTTGTGATTCAAGCAGGATAACATCTATATGGAAAATCTTGATGCAAGTGTTGTCATTCTGAAAAAGCTGTGTGATGAGTGGAAGATTCATGCGGAGAAACATTCTGTGGTTGACCCTCTAAAGACAACTTTAAGAAGTTTGATAGTGAAGGTAAGGCTATGCTTTAATTTGCATTGGGGAAATCATTTTGGTTGTTCATTGAGTTCATTCTGAAAATGATAAATAATTGAATTGGGTAATTAGATGCGTGATCTACAATAATCACTAATCATGGAGATGATGCCATGTGCTGTGGTATGTAACTAAGGATATTCCTCTGGCAAATAGAACATATGTTGGTTGTGCGTGTATTTTCTTTTCCTGAATCAACAAAGTTCTGAGTGGCCTTTAGTTTCGCACGGCAGTAATTTTGGATCATTGGTCTGATGGTGGTTTACCAGGTGTCATTCTCTATACAAAATCTGAACATGTGTGCTGCTTCGATGTTGGCTGGTTGTGGCCCTCAGTTGCCTAGTGTCTCTGTTCCTAGGATAAGCTATCTTTTAGTATTTTAACGATGCTTAGTTACAAGTAATAAACTTTCTGCAACCAGACCTAAAACACTTGTGCTGTGGATTTGCAGAATGAGAAGGCATTGGCTAGTGATGAGAAGGATGCTGCTCATCAAGCGACCTTGAAAGATGCTCAAAAGCACTGCAAGATACTTCTGGGTCGGGTATCACGAAGCAATGGATGCTTGAAGGCATTCGTTATATTGAGTATTGTAGTGGCTGTTGGTGCAGCTTTTGTGTCAAATGACTTGAAGTCATTTGACTTGAAGAAACTATTGGTCGACTTCAACTTATCGTAGAATTTTCCTCCCTCTTAAAATGGAGGCATACTGGCATATAGTGGTTCATGCCATTGTTACATGTCTAAATTATACCCGGCATAGAGAAGCTAGACGCCCATAACAAAATGGGTAAGAGATCGAGATCCTTTTAGAACCTTCCTTCAACCAAATCTTGTCGAGTTCAGGGAGCATAGGTATAGAAAACTAAGAAACATAATTCGTGTTGTTTTTACTGTAGTCGTTTAACGGTGTTGTCTCTCTTATGTTCATTCCAAATTAAATTGAGAATTGAATTCTCTTGACATTTTGTTGATGTTGGCAATGTTACAGTGGTTTTCCTGCTTACTGAATTATTCATATGTGCGCTGAAGAACTGTGGAGATCAACCCGATTTGATTTTTTTTTTTTTTAAACTATTACTTCTCTTCTTATCCATGTTGCGTGTTAGAAGTACCGCAATTGCTCATCTCTGTCATCAACAAGTCTATGTACCTCCTCCTAGTGCTAGAGATACTTGGTGTGCTCTCTCTGCATTTGTCATTTGGTGGCCGAGATTCTGCCTTTCATTCATAAAGTTTTACCGCACGGCGTTAGCAGCAGCATGTCAGCTGTAATTGGCTGCATGGAGCTGTTATTTTTTTTTTTGGTGCGTTGGAGGGTCATTGGCCCTTTCCATTCAACTACTTTGGGGAAAATAGAGCTGTTATTTGTGTTGTCTCTACAACTAGAAGTTTGGGATCCAGGAGGAGGACACTAGTCCACTACTGTAGTTCTACTCATTTATCTTCTCTGTTCTTTTATAACTTGGATCAGGAGTTACTGGTATGTATTGCGTTATTTGGCACCTAAATTCTTTACCAAGAATGATTTACCCATTATGTTTTCACAGCTTCAGGTTTATTATAACTTTTCTTGTCAAACATTCGTGTTAAAAATCAATTCATAGCATGAGCGAACTGTAATTCTTTTTTATTGAATGGTTATCATATGTTCATCTTCATCTTCTGGCAAGACTATTTGGAGTCAAGATAGAACAACGCCCATTTGGCTCTGGAATTTGACGTTCGACCTTGGGTTAGCTGATGGGGTTGAGAAGAATCACGTATAGATATCAAATCAAGCAACTCAAATTAGATATGTTAAAATCTATTATTAGATTGTTTCTCCCAACTGAAAGAAGAAGATCATAAAACTTTTTTAAAATAAATAGTGATTCTTTTAAATTACTATTTCCATCTGCTGCATTTTTTTTGGGTGGACAGCACTGCACCTATCCATTACTTTTGTCAGTTCTGTGTGTTTAGACATACCAACCAAGGGTTCATCATCATTCACTCATGATTCAATTGGGGAGTGCTCATTTTTCAGGGTAGGCATATCTAAATTTATAATAAAGATAGGATTAGATTGAGAAATTGATGAGTTATATGGTTATGGACGCTATCTGTGATGTCGACATTTTCCTTTTACCTATTAGTTGTCGATTGTCAATTAAAAATGCTACTTACCACTAAGAAAGAAACAAAGTCAAGGATATATTAATGTTTAGTTGCGACTTGCCAATGAAAGTTGTACTAATCAACAAACAAAACAAAAGACAATCGTCCGACATGTGAAAAACTCGACAGAAATGACACTCACAAGCAGAACAAAAGACAACCTGCCGACATGTTAAAACCTTGACAAAAATGATGCTCCCAAATTAACACAGCAGTTTTAAAACAAAATCGTTACACGATATATCAGGCGGCAACCAGTCCACGACGCCTTCACCACCTCTTTTCACGATGATTATTTTTTGGTATCATACGGCGAAATTACATTTCCTGTGTCAAATTTCAATGTTGGCGGCTTAAAGAATGCACTTTATTTCCCTATTCTGCAATCATCCTTCTGTACATGTCCTTGATAAATCTTCTATATATATGTGTGTGTGTGTGTGTGAATTCAACTCTTACCACTTCTGGATTAGCATTATTCTACTACCTCACTATTATAGTTTTACGAAGAAATCTTAAAAGAGAAAGATGGCATTGGGTACTCGTGCCTGCAATGCTAGTCGGTTCTTGATTTTCTCATTGCTTATATATATTTATTACCTTTTCCAGTGTAGCTGAGGTAATGAAACAGATTAGTTTTTCTTCTTTTAGAACTTTTGCTCTAAGAATATGTAAATATTCAGTGGATAATAATTGTCCCTTACATCTTCTTTCTTTGTTGTTCAGTTTTTGGATTTTTTTTTTCCCTTTCGGGGAAGGGTTACAACCAACTTCGTCCACAGGGTATGTTTAATTTCAAATTTTATTCCCTACAAATATTTTAATTTTGTAAAAATGACATTGTTTGGAATATATTGTAATTAAGCATCTGTTTTTTTCTTTTTCCCTTTGATAACATTGTGCAGATTGCAGGCCAATATGTACATATAGCTGCTCGGCGGCATCCCACAAGAAGCCATGCATGCATGTTTTTCTGTCTTCAATGCTGTGCAAAATGCTTGTGTGCGCCTCGGGCTCTTCCGGCAACAAACAAACTTGATCTCGCTACAACAATTTCAAGAATAAGAACGGAAGTCCCAATTGCCCTTAATTTTTGTAGCCTACAAAGCGAGAAAGATGAAGAAGGTGGAAGAGAGGAGTCCCTAGCCTTCCTTTTTTTTTTTTTTTTTTTTGTTTTCCATCTTACAAACTTGGCTTCTCTCCGGTGGATTTCCACTCCATTTCTCGTAGTACACATATGGATGCATGACATGTGTCTTTATTTATTAACATGGATTAGGATTAGTCAAATTTAAAATGATCATGTCCCTTTCTAATAAATGAAAACACATGTCATGCGTTCAGATATATATTGTGAAAAATGAAGAGAGAATCCACTAAAAAAAAGCCAAATCAGTCTACCCCTCTTATTAAGATTGTAGAATGTTCTTGCAAATTATGACCTTTGTCTGGAATGTGAGTAAATATATCATGTCAATTGCTTAATGAACTTTGGCTGTCTTATGTAGAGTTGAATTAGGTTTTTTGGGTGTTCTAATTGAAACACGTGAGTATACTCCTTCCTTCTGGGGACATTGATCCAAAGCTCGAGTACGGTCCGTGCACTATTTTTCTTCTCTACCATGACGAATCGATTGATTTTGATGTAGACATTGTTAAGCAATGTGTCTCGCCCCATGAATTGCAGCCTGAGCTCTCAGATGCAGAACACCAAGAGAGCAGGAGATTTTCGAACTCAATTTGTCTGAACTCGACGTCAATTGCCCGTACCAAACTACTGTTGTTATCGCCTCGAGACGTCACGTCTGTTGGGTTCATCGTCTTTCTTTTGTCCATCCTCCATTTCGTGCCCTATCACTAGTAGTTACTCCTTATCCAAAGCACACCTTTTCCTCATTTTACTGTTAATTTCACGGATGAGATTAAAATTTGCCCTCATATATGGTGCTTCTCGTCTCCTAAGTTGTAAAAAACCAAACCTCCCTACAAGTAAATTTTCGTTCAGACAAGTTTTAATTCTTTAACGAACTTTTTCGATCAGATCTTCAATAACTTAAAAAAAAAAAAAAGACACGCGTGCGCGCGCAGAAGTTGAAGCTGAGATATTAAGCCCAAAGGTTAGTTGGGCAGAAGATGCTCGGATGATAGCCTAGAAGCCGTAGACCACGATGAAAGTAAGACCCTAGTAGATAAGTCCAGCTTAGGCGCTTCAGGCCCAATTGTTTTTAGGAAGCGATGAATGCTAGAGAATTATTTGAAATTCATAATAATGCATCACTTTTTTAATAAGGTAATGTATGTGAGATAAAAAAATAATTATAAAAAAATTACAATCATGTTTACAATGCAATCAAATAATATTTTTCAAATAACAAATTATTCAATCAAACTTGTATTTTGCAAACTAGTGAGTAATTCTAAGCTCATTAAATCACACAGTAAAATTTGCATATGGTAGGAAAGACAGTTAATTTGAGACAAGTTAAAATAGTAGTCTGGGAAGAACTCTTAAATTTAAACAGTGAAAAAATTTGTACGTATGGAAATCCTTAGTTTAATTTTTGCGATCCAACTTTATTTTTAATTGCTTTACTAATCTACCCACCCGGCTTAGTTAGGTTTTGAAAGTAAATTTTTTCACTTTTTATGAGAGAGATTGGCTGGATTTGAAATTAACTTTTACCAATTGGCCGGATTTGAAATTTAACTTTTACCGACGATTCTCTCTTTACCATGCATGTGTTACAACATACAATAGTGCTCGTCTTCTCCATTAACAGGTGTTTGTTACCACTTACCGCCTCTTACTGCTACTAGCATCTGTGGTTTCTCTGCATTTGTAACTCGGTGGCACGGATTGTGCCTTAGTTCAGTTTACTGCAACAACGTCCGCAGCAGCATGTGAGGCGTAATTGGTTGCTTGTATGTAGTTGTTCAATTTGAAGATTGGACTTTGGCTCAGTTGATAAAACCTGATTGATCAATCACTCTCTTAATACATATCATATGCTCAAATTCCAGTATTGATGTGAGAGCTACATGTGAAAAATCCAATAAAGATTACGTTGGTAAGAACTCTTACAAGTAACCTCTAATTGCAGAGCATACTACTCCTGCTTGTAAGTATGAGCGAAGTCGAAATTCATCCAAATGTTATTCAACAACGAGCATAACTTGTAATAGTAATCGAAACTAAATCCATTCAAACTTTATTCGAAAAAGAAAAAGTTTGGGATCCTTTGGAGGTCACTAGTCTACTATAGTTTCACCTGTTTGTCTATTTCAACTGCTTTTTAACAACTTGAATATAGGGTAACGTCTAAAATTATCTTAACAGGAATGGAAAATTTTCTTTGAGCTATAAACGAAAGTACCGTAGACTTTCTGCTTTGTTTTTAGTGATCTGGCAACTCTTTTTTCCCTTGTTTATCTGGCGGATGCACAGTGATATTCAACCAATTTCTGGGGACAGATAGTACTGTTCACACTCCGAAATTTTGGACCAAAATCTTTGTCTAAAAAGTCCATATAAATGAGATTTGTGATTGTTTTACTACTTTCTTGGAAAAAGTCTGGCCACCAAGGCAAGCAAGTAAAATACTAGATCCTTTGTGTCGGGCAAGGCTAAAGGCGCAGCTCAGGCCCAATCGCACGAGGAGATTAGGTACTTTAAATGGTAAACTGGGGCGTTTAAAAGTTAATGTGACCCATTTCCAATAGCGGAGATATCTTCTAACCCGGGAAATCAACATCCAACCTATGTTTTCAGAACCGGACCGGGTATCGACTCCGCCGAAGTCAGGGATCAATGGGTTCGACTGGGGGTCGATAGGAATCGAACCGGATGACGTCATAAATAAAAATTATTTAAAAATTAAAATATTATATATAAAATATCAAATAATATGTTAATATTAATAAAGGTATATTCATATATATTTAATGTTTCAAATATATTTAACAAGAAAATACAAAGAAATTAGAACAATCAAGTAGCAATTTATGTTATTTAATAAATGTTAACAAGTTTAGAATTAAAATTATGAATTTAATTGAAAAATAACATCAAATTTTAGGACAATATTTATAAAGTATGAAATATTTGAGGTATATTAATAAATTTTAACAATTTAGGGGGCCAAAACATAATATTGAAAAGATTGAGTTTTTTTTTAAAAAAATGCCCATTGAACCGGAAAAATCGATTTTTTCCCGGTCAAATCCGGTTTTTGACCGGACTTTAAATTTTCGGTTTTTTACCATGATTCAGATCGGACACTTGGCCGGTTCTCGGTTTGATCGGCCGGTCTGGTCCGAGTTTCAAAACAGAGCATCCAACAGTTGGTCGAAAGCCTTTTCAACTAATAGCTTTCATATCCTTTACATAGTTCTACAATTTACCAATTCTATGTAAAACTATGCTCGTTACATCACATAGCAAATCTGCATATAGTAATAATGTGGCAGTAGCAAAAGGTGCAAGTCTGACGAGGACAGCTAGAATAAACTTCTGGTGTCTTTTTTTTTTTTTTTAAACTCCCTCTCTTCCCTGTCCCTAATTCCTCCTTATCTCAAATTTGGCTGCCAAATTCGAATCCTGATCTGTTAGGCGAGACATTAGGTCCTGAACCAAAAGCCCCATGACTGTCGCTTAACTTCTCCAATGTCTTATTGAACTTTGCCAAATTCGAATCCTGATTTGTCATGCGAGACATCAAGTCCTGAACCAACCATCCCAACTAGATCTCCGATGTAACCTTGTGAAATATTTTTGTCACAAGTTGTACAATAATTTTATGTGATACTTTGAGTGTTCCCTCTTACATCAGGAAAAATGAAAAGGAATGATTTTTCCTTTTATAAATTTGAGGCTTGTCAACTAACAATTATTAATAATTTCGACTTGAACATTTTAAACGTACAATTACAGTGTACAGTCCTTACGCGGGTGGGTGGAAACGTATCGTGCAATTGGGCAATTTTTAGACCTCTCCAATGTCCAGACTCTATGGTTGGGTAATTTTTAGAACGAGTAACACCAGACACTGAAGTTATTCAATTCTGCATATCACATTAATTATATATAGGCTAACTGCTAAACTAACCCAATATATTGTTATGTTAATCTACTTTGCTTACTTGAGTTTTGGAAATTGTATTTTTTTTTTCCATTACTCATAAAAAGATCATTAATGAATCTTCACTTAGTTCCTTATGATTTGAATTTGTATTCCGTCAATTACAATTTTAGTAAGGTGATAGCATGGTTCAAACCTGGAATTTTGTGTACGCTGGCGCTTCAATTTTTTTTATTCCTTGGACAATTGATATTTTATCTGATTACATGCACTGGCTTATCCATTCCTTCAGAAGCCGACACTTACAGGTCCCAGCTCGTTCTTTTTTTTTGCAGAATTTTCTTTGGAATTAATTTTGTTGTATCCAAGGAGTCATGAATCATGAATGAGGTGCTAATTAAACGGAAAGTTTTTCCGTCTTACCGTATTAACTGCAGAAAGTGACAGAGTATTTGTTCCCATCCTAGTTTTGGAGTCTAGCGTTGGCAATTGACGCGCCACGAACTTAGTTTGTGGTTGGAATTTCTTGCGATCTTTGCAATTTCTTGGTCCTCCACAGTCCTTCAGCCTTCAACCCCTACCTATTACAACTGGAATGCTGTAACTTAACTCTGACAAATATATAATTCCGCTGTATTCTCACACTCCTGAGTCCTACCTCCTCTCTTGATTGTAATCTCCTTTTTGACCAAAGGGTGAGTGCCACCTAAACTGCTGCTTTTCTGCACTTTCTTCCACTATTTATTAACTGTTGACATTCCAGACGTTTTAGTTGAACCTGCTTAATCTCTTCTTTGTGGGTTTTGTTTATTCTTCTCAACTAGTTCTTGAAGATTAAAAGTCGAATAATGCATTTAAGAATTGATCGTGGCAATTTAGCTTTCTGTTTGGATTCTTGCAACCCTGTTTGTCTGTCTGGCACCTGTTTTTATGTGAAGCTTAATTGTATTTAGACTAGTATAATATTTGATTAGGCTAATATCTTTAATTCCTGGGAAATCTTTTTTGTAGTGGATTTGACTATCTTGGTTACCAAGAGATGTGAAAATTCTGTCTTGTAATAAGACTAAGGATATCTACTCAGTAAAGAAGATATCTTAGTTGATTGAAAGAAGACGATGAAAAGAAGATTTGGTTGCAGTTATGGTAATATTACTAGCGTATTACCACATCTCATGTTGGATTCTAGTTAACCTACCTTTGTTTTGAGTATTCAACGTCTTTTCAGTTCAATTTCTCGAATGTCTGCTCGGAATTGTGGCATATTTCATCAGATAAATTGAGATTTCTACTTAATGTGTCAAACTTTGCCAAATTGTTCAAATCGAGAAATACTTCCAGAAAATAGGGATTTGGAAATGACTTCAGCTAGCTTTGATAAAGCCTAATCCTTAGAAAGATATCAGGAGACTACAAAGAGTTTTCACCATATCAAATAGTCAATGCCTGAACTATAGCGTCAAGTTGTTTTGCAGTTGATTTCAAATGCCGTTAAGATGCTTGTGAAATGCTGCAAATTCTACTAATGAGCTTGTAAAACAAATAATGCTTGTGAAGATTAGTGTCAACTTCTCTAAATTAAAATTTCTGCATTTTTCCTTGGAGGTGAACTGTAATTCAATTTTTTTTTCATTTGTTTCTGCTTTTAGGTTTTGCTGGGGAAAAGGCTATCTTGAATATTCTGCTTGCAATCTCGTCATCTCTTGACTACTGTGGTGACATAGGTCTCAACAGGGTTTTCATTACCTAAT